CAGCACAGTAGTTCGCTGCAATCAGGTCCTAAGCCTTGTATTTCACAGACAATTACATCTTGGCGGCTGTTGAACAAAAATGTAATATTTACTCTGTGCTACACCGAGGAGCACTTTTAAAGTCGAAAACCAAAATACTACATTTCAAAAAAGAAAATATGCTAATAAATCTCTTTTTATGGATTTTCTCTGCATACATGGAAACAACGTGATTTAAATCCTCCGTCCCCCCCCCCCCCTCCTCCTTTCAGGCACAGCTGAAGTTAGACAGATACTGTCTTTTAACACACATTCTACATGTCTGGGGGGAGGCACCCACATTTGTTACATTCAATTTAGTTTCCAAACTTTCACACCCCACCCTGACCCACAGAGCCGCATGCAGCAAGGATTATGAATTTATTAGCTCTGGGATGTGACGTCTATTTTCACACGGATTCGAAAAAGATGGCGTGACTTGGGTAATTAATTTATAACTTCATGTAACTTTCTAAATGGCTACCCATTTTCCTCTCAGGCGGGCTTCTGAAGGAGGTGGGAAAGTTGAGGCAAATAAATAGTTTCATGAAACTCTGGGGCACATATTAAAATATGTTTATTATTTGAAAATGCATAAAGTATGGACCTGTATTTGTTTGCTGGTGATCATAAAATAAATTCATAGCCATTCTTGCTAATTAACAATCTTTATTATGCTTAAAAAAATTTAAAAAATAAATCCTCTTGGACTATATCTTCATTCTTCCGGATCACCCTCCTATTGAAATATTTTGGTTCTCAATTTTATTTATAGTAAACCTCAGAGATGATGGTTTCCTAAAACTGTGCAATGACAAAGCCACAGAATAGTATTTCAAGTCCAGAAGTCATGCATACCCATGTACATCTCCCATAGAGTTTTCTAGCTGATGGCTTTAGTATTTCAAGAAATAGGAAACAGTAGCTAGAAAGGGTACCATTTCCTAAAAATTCTCTCTTTACAAAAAAAACTTGGTCTGGCATATTATTCCATGCACAAATTATAATATTAGTTTCATGTGTGTTAATCTGTTTAGTATTAAAACTGCTAGAGTGTCTTAACCACTAACATGTTTTACTACACTGCTTTCAAATGGGTGATCTCAGATAATTATGAAGATTTTGATGTTAATCCCACATTAAGTGAACAACTATGAAAATAACCTTAAAGCATTATTATTCTTATATAAATGCCAGCAAATACAATTGTAGAGGGAACACGATTACTTTTTATCTGACATTATCCTATAAGGATATGGCTACATTTATTTCTTTTAAAATCGGGGCAGTTTTCAATTATTTTTTAACAGATTTTTTTTTCTTCAAAACAGCATTTGCAAAGCCTATAAACCACAGCAACTTTTGTACTGACAGATACAGATTTTTCCTACATTGTTATTAATTAGCCTCTTTGCAAACTCACTAAAATAGAATAATATACACAAATATCAAAATGTAGAGAATAATTATTAGGTCTACATATTTATTAAGCTAAACCAATGTTATTAAAATTAAAAACATGTGCTTGGCATATAAATGTTTCTTTAAGAATTCTTTTTTTTGGATGCACAGTTATTATTTTTAAAGCCAACTGAGATTTTCAAGTTCTGATTTTCCACTCTAAACAGGCATTGCATTGTTTTAAACAGTAGCTCCTGGAACAGTACCACCCTTAGTATTTTAGACTTCCAAACAACAATTGGAATTGGATAAATGCTTTCAGCTGCGAGCACTTTCCTAATACCTTTGTAGGTAATAGGATTCCCTGTTTGTGCTGGGTGACAAATGGACAGTGCACTGGACAGACTGCCTACTCTTTGCAGAATCTACAAGCAATTGGAGTTTTCTATAAGACTGCTTGGGGTTCATCTAAAAAAATCTGTTTCAGAGAATATATTCAGAGAGTATAAGTGAGTGCCTTTTCTAACTATATTTATGAAATGATGGCTTAGAGAGGGATGTAAAATATAAGAGAGGAGGAATGTGGAGACCAAAAAAAAAAAAAAGAAAAAATCTGAAAAAGAAAGTTTTCCAGGCAGGATCTGGCTCTTTGGAGAGTGATGAGTTGCAGCCACATCAGGGAATATATTTTTTTTGTTGTTTTCTTCAATTCAGTGATTTTAAAGTAGATTTTTCACCTGAGAAGCGCAATTAAGAAAATATATGTGAATTCTTACATAGCTTCCTTGATTTTCAATATCCGGTCCACCATGCCATTGTTCTTTCTAGATGAATGAATGAAGTAACAGTTGGTGTCGAAAGTCTTGATTTTTTTCAAACTTGTGTTAAATTGGGATAATAAAGTACAGCATATATCCACAAGATGGCTTTCATAAACTCCAATTAGCTGAGAAACAAGTTGGGGGGGCGTGGACTTTTTCAGGAAGAAGCTAGGCAACTGGTTAGGAATCTGGGAGAAATAAAGCAAGAAACTGGCCCCTTACATTCCCAGTAATTCTGCTTTTCCAACATTGTTAAGTTCTTTGCTTCCTGTGCTATTCAAGTAAAAATGCCAGCAATAAAATTACAGAATCTACTCAAGTGACTATTTTTGCTTTATCATAATATATCTGCTTTATTATAATATACATATATGTACATTATATTGGGGCTTTTGAAGGTGTAGTTATTTGTTGAATATTTCTTTTTTCAGATAGTGATATTTAATGAAGTGTTTATAAATATCAATGTAAAGGTTCATCAAAGATACAATAGTCAGGGTAACAAAGGGGCATTTGAACCTGTGTGGTGCGAGCTGCGCTCTGTAAATTGTAAGTGCTTTTAAAACCATGACCTAGGTATTCGTAATGAGGACATCGAGAAGAGAAACTCAAGGGTCCTCAATGTACACAGGCGAGGCCACCTCATCATATGGGGGAACTTGCCTTAGAATCATTTCTCTATTGAAAATGCCATCTTTCGCCCTAGCCGGTTTGGCTCAGTGGATAGAGTGTTGGCCTATCGACTGATGAGTCACAAGTTTGATTCCGCTCAAGGGCACATGCCTGGGTTGTGGGCTCAATCCCCTGCAGGGGTGTGCAGGAGGCAGCTGATCAATGATTCTCTCTCCTCATTGATGTTTCTATCTCTCTCCCTCTACCTTCCTCTCTGAAATCAATAAAAAAAGAAAAGAAAAGAAAAAAGAAAATGCCATCTCTCACCCTCCTCCCAAAACTTCTGCTAGCTGTATTTTACTAAAACGTCCCAGAATTAAGAGTGGCTGCAACTCACTGGGCTTTTCTCTCCTTAAATGCCTTACTATTGGATGACTGAAGAGTTCACTCAGTTGTCCTTGCACTTTATGTGCTCCTTGTTAATTGCCTTAATATGTGGCAATAATTGGATCATGAACTGAATTTTTCTCATTGCCTTGGAGTTTTAACTTACAACCCCAGATTCATCTGAGTAAATAGTAAGCCAAATACATTTTATTGGGTTATTAATTAGGCCCTGCTTCATGTCAGTAAGTGTTTAAAGTAGTTGTCTGAAGAATTAAGGTTATTTTTTCAAATTTGTTTGTAAAAAAATAATTCCTGTAAGTGTAATTTTGCAATTTATTTTGATGTTTATTACGAGATCAATGATGTCTTTTGGTAAAATTTTTTACCCCAAGATGAAGCAAAATCTCATTTGGAATGCGACAAATTTTTGAAGGTAATTTTGAGCATGTTGTAAAGACATTTTAATGATACACAGAAATGAAACTATTACGCATGGAAAGCAGCATAATATAATGATTAAGGGCAAAGTCACTGGGGTCAAAGACACAGTTTTGCATCTTGACTACAATTATCAGCATGTGGTCTTGGGAAAATTATTTAACCATTTTCTGCTTCACTTACCACATCTGCAAAAGGTGGATGATAATTTTAGACTCTGTCACAGGGTATGATGAACACTTGGTGAGATGATTCACCCAAGGCTCCTAGCAGAAGGTCTGGCATACAGTAGGTGCTCAGTAAGCACTAGCTCCTCTCTTCGGCATAGCTCTACCAGGTTAAGAGTGGCACACAGTGACCTTCCTGAGAGCCATTAGGTAAGTGTGGGGATGTTGACAGCCTACGGACATGGAGCTCTGTATGTGGAGTCTGCATTGGCACCCAGCCCTCAAGGCTGACAAGGTGAAGGCAATGGCTTCTGGCTGTCCCCAGAGGTTCTAGAAAGGTATGTGGAAATGGTCCTAGTGATAGCAACCCACCAGGCTGCCTGAGGTTCGTGCCATCTTTTC